ACAGGTGAAAACCAACGGGACTTGAAACACTTGAGCTGGGGTGGGGCCTTCAAGGAGAAAAGCACCTCTGGTGGGGGCAGGAGCCCTATCTTCTTGTTGTACTGATGTGCTGCTTGTTCTGTCCTTTAACACTGGTTTCTTAGGAACTGCTTTTTGATAGTGGCTGTGGTGACAGCTGCTCCACTGTTTGGTGGCTTGTTGGGAAGTGCTGCTGGCTCTGCCTTTCCTTAAAGGTCCAGGAGAAGGAGAGAGAGAGAAGGTTTTTCTTCTGGAAATCACAAGTAGGTTGCTTGTTTGTTTTGGAGTGGTGGTGATGCTGATGCTTGTTTTATAGATTCCTCCACTGAACTCCCCCAAAATGAAGGGTAACTTTAAAATTGTTCCCCTTCATGTACCAGCACAGTTTATGTGCTGCAGTCTGTGGACCATGAATAGTCTGGAGAAGTAGGTTGCTGGAGCTGCTGCCTCCTAACTACTGACACAGGGCAGCAGTACCTGCCTGGCCTGGTCCTCTGCAGGGACTTCACATCCTTCCTTCTTGGGTGTTTCTCCTGCAGTACATTCTTATTTTTATTGGATTTGAGGGTCAACACCAAAACCAGAAACAGAGTAACAAGCAAGGGAGAACAGAAACTGGCTTGTCCTGGCTGATGGACAATGTCTTGGGGCTGTAACCTGCTGGGATGGAGGCACAAGTCATGGTGCTGCAACCCTGAAGGAGGGTGTGAGGCAGACCTAAAAACCAGGTTTGGAGAGCTGTTCTGTGGACACTTTCCCTGTTCCTTGGCTAACACAGGGCAGTGCTCCTCTCTGCTTCTCAAAGATCTCCCACTGTGGAGCCTCTGGGGCCTGTTTCAGAGTTTCTCCATCCTCACTTTGCCAAAGCTTTCCCTGAGATCTGACTCAACTCCTTTCTGCCCCAGCTCAGTCCCACACCTTGCATGTCTGTCCAGCACACATGTGGAGGACAGGTTTCCTCTCCCCATGGCCCTTTGTTGGTCTGCAGCTGGTTTTGCCACATCGGATGAGCTTGTAGAGTGGTGGGCACATAACCAACCTAAAATGGCAGGTTATTTTCTTTCTATTTTGTTTCCTCCTCTATGCACTCTTAATACTTGTACACAGCCAAGTGCTGGAGCTGCCATTGGGATGGAAGTCCCTCAGGGTCAACTCAGTCCCATGGCATTCCCATCATGGGAGTGGTGTGCAGGGAAAGGCTCATTTCACACACATTGGAATTCACAAGCTCCCAAAAGTGATGGCTAAGAGCAGAATTAAATCTGTTCCTGCTAAGAGCAAAAGACTAGAGGGACCTCTGGGTGCTGCTCTGAAGGGGGCACCTGGGGGGAGGTGTCTAGAGGGAGAGATGCCCATGGGAGGATGAAGCATTGGTGACCTACCACGACATAATGTTATGGAGGTGTCTGTGGCCTCAGGGCCCCACACCACTGTAAGACAGACTTTTGTATTGATAATGACATGTCAAAATTGCCTTCAGGGGATACTGGCCAAGTATGTCCCTTTCAGGTCTTGCCTGGAATTTTCTCACAGTGAGAGCCTGTCCCTTGCTGCAGGCTCTGCCTCAGCCTGGTGACAACACCAGGATGGTGTCCTCCTTTGGGAAAAAAGGGCATTGCACTGTGTGACAAGTGGGCACCCTTCTAAGGGCATGGGGACCCACTCAGAGACAAACCCAGCGTGTCTTGGTGCTCCTGTACTTTGCTCAGGCACTTTTGAAGGGGGGGATGTGGTTGTGGGGTCACTTAAGGAAGGGACAACAGTCCTCAAGGTACTGCTGCCCAGTGAAAGGTAAATTCATGGGTGAGTGAGGATTTGAGGCTTCTAAAGTGCAGTGCAGGTTTTATGGTCTTTGCTGTAAACTGTAAACTCCACAGGTCAGAGTCCTTGTCCTCACTTTTGATTTTTCAATGGGTGAAGTGATGTGCCAGCTGAGAAAACCTTACCCCAAAGCAACAACTAGTACAGGAAAGCCAGGATCATGGTGAAAGCAACAGCCTGTGCTCTGCTTGCCAACATCCCACAGTGGGGAGTGTTTCCCATGGCCCATCCACAAGGAGATGGTGTAGTTCTCCTGCCAGCTGTGCACCTCAAAAAGCACATTCCAAAATATCACTTGCAGTCCTGTAACCTGCCTCCCTCCAAGTGAAACTTCCAGTTAACCTCCATGAAAACCAAGCTGTTAATTCAGCTTCTGCTCCCAAGGGAGTCTGCAAAGCTGCTCTTCTGGCTCCTGGGTGTCTTGAAAGGGAGACAGAGATGGAAGAATTGCTGGGAGGAAATCTGAGGGGCTTTACATGAAGAGAGCACTCAGGAGAAGAACCTTACATTTGTCACCAAAAGAAAACATTCCCAGGCCAAAACAGCTAGAAAAGCAGGAGCTCTTGTAGGGTGTGATGCTCACTCCTCCCTATGTCCCTGCCCAGGGTGGGTAGTTAGAAGCTACCCAATCCTTTCTTCATTCAGGGCAGTAATCCTCTAAGAGCCATCAGCATCAGGAGCCAGCTCCAATGTTCACTCATAATCAAGGAGACACTGAGGGTGCAATGCCAGGATGTGGACACTGCTAGACTTCCACCAACCTTCATGAAACTTGAGCAAGACCAGACTTCACACCTCAGTAGCCTTCACAGGTGCATCATGGGCACAGTGGCCCCATCATGTTCCTTTTCAGATAAATCAGAAATGTCTAAAAGGTCCCTGGAGGACCTCAGGGACTATATCCTTCTGTTAAGATCTCTAAGCAGACTAAACTGGCTTATTTACTCTTCTGCTGCCTCCAGCACAAGTCCCTTGCATGCACACAGACCAGGCCTCCCCCTGTTGGCAGTCACATTTATGAGTTTTAATCTATGCCCATAAATTGGCAAGTAGGAGAAAGCAGGTAAGATGGAGAGAGGAACCTTGAGGAGATCAGTGGGCTCATTAAATGTTTGGCACTCAGTGATTATCTGTTGGCAACAAAATGCTGCTGTTACATTTATTTTAATGTGGAACTTGGCACCTTGATATGCAGGAGAATCTCCTCGTCCCACTTCGGGTACACTTGAGAGAGGAGAAATTCAATCATCTGTGACCTGGATTGTGTTTTTAATGGCTGCCAAGCTAGATAAAAATATTTAAATATTCACTTTTCTCTCAGCCACGTGGGGCTTTGAGCAGTGCAGGTTGTGTAACACAGCACGGCCTGCTTTTGGGAGAGGATACAGAGCAAGGCATGGATGGACCAAATACTGAGTGTGTGCCCTGTGGGACACCCAGGCAGCACTCATGAGTATGGTCCAACCCAGCCCAACTGCAGAGCTGGTGCCCCTTGTGTGGGATTTCATAGGTCACCCAGGAAAAAAAAAAAAAATGCTGAATGCATCTCAGTGAAGATATTTGTTGTCAGAAGTGGCCGAGTCCCTCCAGCAAAGGCTCTGAGGATGTTGGCCTGCTGGCAGAAGTGGCTGTACCATGAGACTGGGGCTTTCAGGGCTACCATGTGCTCACCTGCCTTGGGGTGCTGCCAAGTGAGAGCTGGGTAGGGCAAAGTGCACCATGATCAGAAAAGAAACAGGTGTCTGTGGCTCGTGCTGATGGTACAAGTTACTTCTCCACCAGCTACACAAGAAACCCAAGAGATGAGCCCTTCTCAGGGTGAATTTCAGCATCAGCCTTTGAGGCTTTGGGTCCAGCAATATCCTCCCACCTTGTCACTGGTGACTCCTAGGTAGTCAAAATACTGCTTGCCTAGACATTGCATATGTGGCAACTGGAAAGGTGGCTCAGAGCCCAGCTTCTCCCTAGAAGAGATGTAATGTGGGGACTTCTGTGAGAGTGGTGAGACCCTGACCCAGGTTGCCCAGGGAAGCTGTGGCTGCCCCATCCCTGGCAGTGTTGAAGGGCAGGTTGGATGTGGCTTGGAGCAACCTGGGCTGGTGGGAGGTGTCCCTGCCCATGCAGGGGGTTGGATCTGCCTTTAAGGCCCTCTCCCCTTTCTAGCTGCCTGAAAAGCCTTTGAGTTATCATGGTCTTCTCTGATGAGACTGGTGGTGGGGACCCACCTCTCCAGGTTCCCCTGTGGGGTGGGGGACAGGGCAGGATCAGCACCTGGAAGGCATCAGTGCCTGGGTCCACGCTCATGTCAATTGTAGGGGTGCAGTTTGTGGGGCTGCAAGGTGCAAGTTCAGAGTTTCCCTAAAAGCAGCATTTTGCCTGATTTTTTTTCCCAAATAACACTGAGTGGGTGGTGCTAAGGTCAAGGAGAGCTGGGCTTGGAGAACCTCCCTGGACACCTCTTCTTCCCTTTTACCCAGAGTACAGCACACATGGCACCTTTCAAAGCCCAGATGAGCCTTGCTTTCATGCTTTTCTTCCCTAAAAATGGTCCTAAGGATGGAAATGGGCTCAGGTCACCAGTGCCTCGGTCTTCTCCAAGGAATGACAGCACAATGGTGACCATCCCTATGCAACTTGCCTCAAATGCAGTGTGTCACTCCACAGGGAAGGAGGCTCCTGCCCATGCATGAAATTAGGAGCTGCCCAAGCCTACAAATGCCAACAGCAGAGCATCCCCAAACCCACCACCTGTCCATCAATGGTGACATCAGCCATGCTTTTTCTCCAGGAGCTTCTTATCAACACATTTGATATCTAGCTGGAAAAGCACTACTCTCTGGGTTCTCTTTCTCTAGTAAAGCACACTCAGGGTCAGCCTCTGGTCTTGCTCCAGGTGTAAACCTGGAGTACTCCTAGTAACCTGCCTCCAGAGCATTTGTGAAGCCATTAAATGTGAAGGTGCTGCTAATGCCTGGTCTCACTGCCTCCGAGGTGTATCCTACCAGTGCTGCTGCTGCTCGAAGGGTTTTCAACATGGTGTAAAAGCAAAGCTCCTGCGAGAGCAGGGCCACCTGTGCCTGGTGGCATCGACGTTGGGGAAGGTGCCTGTACACACCTGGGATGGAGCTGGGGAGCTCCACGCCAGCCTGGCCCCGGGGCCCTCAGTCCGACCACTCGTTATCGTCCAGCTCGGAGTCGTCGTCGGACTCGCTGTATTCCACCGCGATCCGGCGCGACAGGATGGTGGCCACGTCGTTACCCACGGGCTCTTTTTTGGCCTCTTGTTCCCACTGTTCCTGGACTTTCCGGAGTTGGATTCCTGTGGCAAAGGGAGGGAGGGAGGAAGGCTTTAGGGGCAATGCTCCCAGGACCCATGGGTGCACCCAACAGGCATTGTCCCTCCCCTCCGTGAAAAGCGTTGGCTGAAACAAGATGGGTATGAGTTATGGTTGAGTCACCAGGGCAGTGGTGGAGTCCCCATCCCTGGAGGGATTTAAAGGCTGTGTAGATGTGGCACTGAGGGACATGGTTTAGTGGTGGCCTTCACAATATTACAGGTCTTTTCCAACCACAACGATTCTGTGATTCTAAAGCTGTATGAGATAATGAGCAATGCATATGGTTACAAAGCTGGACAATAGAACAAAGCTCCTCCTCTGCTCCCAATTGACCTGAAGAGGCTGAACATTCCTGAAGGTGAAATCTACCATTTGGCCTGAAGATTTGCCAGAAGAGGAAATGGGAGAAACCTTGGAGGGCATTGTGAACTCCAGTCTGGGGGGAGGCCAGGCACATGAGAGCCACCAGTCAGCTCTGTAGGGCTCCATCCCACCTGGAGCAATGGGTTCCCTCCCTCCTCCCTCCCTCCACCCCCTGCACTGCACTTTTCTTCCTCCCCATCACCTTGGCCACCCAGGGCTCACCCTGTGCTCAGCAAAGCCAACACCACAGAATCTTAGGGGTTGGAAGGGACCTAAAAGATCACCCAGCACAACGCCCCCTGCCAGAGCAGGGTCACCCAGAGCACATCACACAGGAACGTGTCCAGGTGGGGTTTGAATGTCTGCAGAGAAGGAGACTCCACAGCCTCCCTGGGCAGCCTGGCCGAGGGCTCTGTCACCCTCACAGGAAAGATGTTTTTTCTGATGTTTACGTGGAACCTCCTGTGCTCCAGTTTGCACCCACTGCCCCTTGTCCTGTCACTGGGCATCACTGAAACCACCACAACTGAACTCACCACCACAACCCTACGCACTTTGCCGCGGCAGGGGCGGCGTTTGGGGACCCGTCCCCCCTGTTCCCCCCAGCTCACCCCTGCGGATCGCTGCCAGCAGGTCGCTCCGGGCATCGCTCATGGGCATCAGCGGCATCTGCGGCTTGCGGGGCTCGGCGGGCGCGGGCGGCGACGCGGAGTGCGCGGGGGAGGCGGCGATGGCGGGGGGAC